GACTCATATGCAGGAGGTCAAGAGTTCAAATCTCTTTATTGGAAAGTTTTTTTTTTTTTTTTAAATTGTAAAAGAAAAAAATTCAAAGTGAGATAAAAATTATTTTGCAGGGAAAAAAAATTAAAATTTGTTTAAAAATTCATTGCTTGGAAGTGTGAGGGGGAATGGTGGGTAAAGGTGTGCAGAAGAGTAACACGGCACGGTTGGCAGAAATACATATATATTGGGAGAGGGGAAGTGTACAGAGAACAGTCGGTGAGGGGAAAGGGGGTGGGGGAACTTGAGAGGAAGAGTAAACCACTTTCGTTAAAAAAAAAATATGTCTGTTTTAAAATTCTAGCCCCCCGAATAACGCGACATAAAAAACTTCGTTCTAAAAAATGAAATAATGAAAAATTAAAAAAAATAAATCAAATTAGAAAAAACAAACTAGGGGTTATAAATGGAGCATGAGATCCACGGTAAGAACGAATTTCTTTAAACATACGATGAGTTCAAAGACACACAGTTTCTCAGGTAACAAGGGGATGGCCAAACCCATAGGAAGAACGAAGCTCTAAAAAAATAAGTACTGCATTCATGTAGTTCACTAAAATAAGAACTTGAAAAATGAATTTAAAGAAAATAAGAAAAGTTAGTTCTGAGATTTAATTCTAGAGTTGTATGTATGCATGACGTCCTTACGAAGTTCAACTATCGTGAGTACTCAACTAAATTTTCTTATTTCTTTTTAAATTCGTTTTTTAAGTTTTTGTTTTAGTGAAGTACATAAATGCAGTACTTAGTTTTATAGAGTCTTTTATTTTCCTATAGGTCTGACGACACCCTTGTTACCTGAGATACTGTGTGTTTTTATACTCATCTGATGTTTAAGGAACTTAGTTCTTACCGTGGGTTCCATGACCTATTTTTACCCCCTGGCTTGTTTCTTTTAATTTGATTTTTTATTTTTATTTATTTATAAAAATTCACATAAGAAACTTTTAACTATGTGTTTTTCGAAGTAACATCCTAATGGTATTACGAAAGGGACAGCTTTGGATACTTTTAATTCGATTTTTAATTTTTTTTTGGGATAACACTTTTTATAAAACCTCAGCTAAAATCTGAAGTAAGTTTTTGGTATGAGATAGTCACCTAAGATGACAAGTGATGTCTTACCTTAAACCCGTTGACAGAAAACTTCCTTTATTAAGGCAGTTATTTGCTGAAAAGTTATTTTAACTATCATACACAACAAGAAATCATTTGGGTATTTTCTGGTTAACATTTGTTCAAAAGTTAGTTTAACTGTAGTAACTAACTGAAAAATAATTGAGCTTCTTACCACAGGTACTAGCTTGCCCAAGAACTGATAAATAACAGTTTTTTAAGAAGAACTTTGTCAAATGATATTAGTTTTGAAAAATGTTGTGTATGCCTTACCATGGATACATTGTCTCGACATAGTATATCGAGACTGATTCTTATAATTTGAGATTAAATTACAACATTTGTTTAAAAATTACTGTATTATAAAAGTTATGAATCTATGTTTGATAGAAAGGAGACGTGAAACGTTTTTTTATAACTTTGAAAACTGATAAGAAATGTGTGTAAAAAGATTCTGTTAGTGATCTTCAAAAAATATTTTTCTCAAATCAACAAGATGAAATAGCTGAAAACAAGTTAGTTTTGTAAATTTGATAAAAAATACTTTAATTTATAAATGTAATATATAAGTAAATTGATTATTTAGCCAGTAATAAAATGTAGCTAAAATAATACTGTTGGTTGAGAATGTGTGGTTTTTATTTTAATCTGCTGTTATAAAGATTTTATTACGAATTCACTTTAAAACAATAAGATTGTGTGAAAAGTAGTCCTTCAAGTAAATCAAGAACTTAGATTTTTAAATAATAAATGTTTAATATCTCTGCAACTATTCCTAGGCTTAGTTGTTGTTACCCTGATGATCAAACCTGAGTTAAGGATCTTCCGAGTCTTGCAGTGGAGTGAGTATCTGGAAGATACTTTTAATGGCTTGCTTGATTGGCCCCATGAGAGGCTCTGGGTTAGTAGACGGAGAGAAAGTGGTAGAGAGTGTTCGCCTCTGAAGAGCGAAAGCACTGGGATTGATTAGAGTGATCCTTACTAATAGGGTAGAACTAGCTCTAACTGCTAGTGTATCATAGAGATGGGGAAGCTCTTAAAGAAACGCTTAAGAAACTGAGTGGCTACGTGCGTGGACAACTTTCGTGGAAATAACTCCAGAAAAGTAACTACAGCGTATCCTTGGGCTAAGTAGTCATGTAGCCTTGGCAACAGGGTGGGCTGCCTCCACACAGGCAATCAGTAGATTCGCGTGACTGAGATGGATGCTTCCGAGCCGTCATGCAGTCTTTCTTTTAAAATAAAAGTTACCTTATTACTTGTAATATTCTCCTGAAACTAGCAAGAGTCAGAAGCCGTAGGCAGTACTATCTGATACAAAGTTAAAAATTTCAATCGCAAGATGTTTAAGAATTAAATTTATTTAAAACGATAAAAGATTGTAAATGATAACTATTCTGATTACTTATGATTTTTGAATAAGTGCTTCAAATAGTAACAAAGTTAATAAATAGATCATGGCATGTTTCAAAAATGGAGTACCATAACTTTGTGATACTTGTACTTTTTCTAAGTAAAGAGGTTTGTTTAATAAATACTGGCCATCGAAAATAATAAGAAAAAAGTTTTAAAACATGGAAAAATTTATCATTCATCTGTTTAGTTGGAGAATATGTTTTATCGTTAAAAATGTATAACGTGTTATTTTAATGCGTTTTTAAGCAAACTATTGTATTTTATAAAATCCAGTAACGTACTAAGCCACTTTACAATCTTACTAGTAGTTATAAGTGTCAGATAGTTTTAATAATATTATTGTTATTCACTTTATTGCTATTATAACTACGAACAGATCATATACTATCTTAAGTTTATTTCATCTCATGATAAATTTTTTTTTTTGCAAAATAGGAACTATAGATACAAAAAATTTATTTTTTGATACATAGTTAATTTTACGATTTTTATTTGATATTTATACAAAGAATTTCGAACTATTAAAATAAAAATAAAAATTAATTTAATCTTACCGTTAAGTAGCGTAAATGTAATAGCAAACAATAATTCAGAACTTTGTCTTGATATTTCACTTATATCAACTTGAAATCGAACTTGTCGTTGAAACATCACTGAACTAGCACTGGTGCGTTTATACTCTACTTTAAATGATGTTGGAGAGTAAATGTTATGGGATAACTCAGCTACCTGAAACATTTGTACACAATTATGTTTAAAAAATTGTGTATCTTCAAGTTTATTAAGCTTCTACTCGTAAAGTTATTAGTCAAAATCGTGGAGGAGAATATAAGAAAATTATATACATTAATTGGCAATTTCAAAAACCTAAGCTTATAACGGGCCAGGAATATTGTAGAAGTAACCATTTTTTGTTTAATAAAGCACTCAACGTTAATTTTTTAACTGATAAAACCTCACAAGACTACATAAGTATGTAGTAAAGTAGTGAGTTCGATCATAAGATGGTAACTTTTATTCCAAAAAAAATATTGTTATTTTTTTTTGGCACATAACATGAAAAAATCTTGTACCATAGCTACCACACAATAAAACCAAAAATCATTTTCTCTTTCTATATGCACTGTTAAACGTCAAATTGGATCATCTTAAGTTTACAGCTTTTTATCAAAAACTGAGTTGCAGCTGTCAGAAAAATGCGATTGGTACTGTTGTATTGGTATTTCCTAATATGCGAAATTAATACAAGTAACATCATCGTGCAAGCCTACTGTTTTGCTGTCAACGCAGTCTGCAAGAACATCGCTTATTGGTTGACCTAATTTAACCAAAGGCCTCTTTTACTCGCTCTAATGATATAAAACCTTACCATCAAAAGGAAAAATTACTCTCTTTAAGTCTGTCACCTGTCTTCTAATGTCTAAGTCAATTTTTGACTCTCGCTACTCGTGAGTACCTTATGCATGTAAGGCATAATGCGTTGGCTGAGGCAACTCGATTGCGTATCAAAAACATCAATAGTATCAGACTACGCTAAGGACCGAGGTTCAGCAAAGAAGGATCGCCAAAAGTGGTTCCGGCGATAGCGAAGAAAGCAGAAATTGCAACATTCTACTGGCTACAAACTTATTCGTGTAGTTTAAGCAAACACTAAAGGTTACCGCACGAAGCATTAGGGAATTTCGAAGCAGCAGTAACAACGATCAGTGATGGATGTAAGTTATTTATCAGTTATAAAATTAACGCTGAACCTTGTTTAAATGACCTAATTAAATTGTATTCAAAAGAACAATTTATTTTGAAATTGCTTTAATAAAAAAATAAATTAATTAAAATTACCCATACTATTTGAAAAAAGATTATGATTCAGTTATAAAGAAAAAACGAAGCTCACAAGCTGAACCCTAAGACACTTACGAATGACACTTCAATAAAACAGTTAAGACCATGCCCTGAACTAGTCCGGTCTTCACAAATTAGCATCCCTTGTGTGTTCTTAAAATCTTAGTTTTATTAAAAAATAAAAAAAAAAGTAAAAAAAAATTATTGTCATTAAGTAAATAAATTATACATGAATGAATAGGAGCAAGAAAACAAATAAATGAAAATGCCCGGAAATAGTGGAAAAAACTCGTCAGTGGACGACTCTTTTATACAACTGTTCTTAAATGTTTCGCAAGGATCAAGTACGACTAATTTATTAATGTGCATGAATCAAGCATCTCCACACATACCTTTTTATGATGGATTCTCGACTCCTTTAAAAGACTTTTTACAAGATTTAGAAAATAGACGAACTCTAATAACATTCGCTAAAGAATCCATATACAACACAATTATTTCTAGACATAAAGGCAAAGCACGACAGTTTCGTAGGTTCTACGTTTGCATCAATTGATCAGTTAAATAACATCTAAAACAAGAATTTATACCAATCAAGTCGTATCATAAATACATGGCAGAACTTTTGAGTACAACAATAATACAAAACGAAACAGTTCGAAATTTTTATCATAAAATAATTTCTCTCACAGAAACTATCTTAGCAGGTCTATTGACTGCATTAAAAGGTGATAAACTTAAAATGACACAAAAACCACAACTTGGAAAATAAGCACCATAAACGCTTATTAACGGTTTACCTTACTCAGGAAAACTAAGTATAGCACTTTTGACACCTACAGATGTCCATGAAGCTTTAGAAGCCGCTTTATTTACTGAACGCACTTGCCCGCCATTATGCAATCAGGCCAAGTACGTCGACAAGGCCGTACCCATGACCTCTACTACTACAACTCCTAAATCTTTGGTACCAAATGTTACTAAAATTCTTGATCCTATCTCTACTCAGTTTGACCACAAAAAAAAAATTCGTCAGTTTTAATGACCCATTAAAACACAAAAGTACTTCTTTTCCACATACTTACAATAAAAATTATGTCAAGATAGCTCAACCAGTATTTGACGAGTATGGTCAAAAAATTGTACATCACACACTTGTAACTCAAGCCGTACTCTGCAATCAAGCCGAACACCACCACTACCCTGAAAGAATTTACCTAATCACTATTATTACCCTTTAAATTTGAAAGAATTCCCATATTTTTAACCACCATCCTTTTATCTACCTTACTACTCACAAATGTATGATCCCTATCTTTATACTCAAGGATATTCTTACCATCCACAAGCTCTATTTCCATACTGCAACCAAAAAAAATAACAAAATAACAATCGAGAGAAATACCAAAACTCTTGCCCTAACTCTCTAAAAAACGAGAACAAGACTCGCCAGTTGGACCCGACTGCAAGTTTGAATCCGATGATGCGTCTAAAATCAATAATGGCAATGAAATCTATAGAGCCTTCCGAGCATGAACAATAGAAAATTCACCAGCAGTTAAATTACGTTGCAAAACATTTTGGTACGATTCAGGAATTTTTATATTAGATTCAGGTGCAGAAGAAAATGTCATCAGATACAACGCATTAAAGAATGGCACAGAAATTAATCGTGCTAATAAAATTGGATTAGAAGGAATAGACCCACAGCAAATATGCACTCTAGGTAACGTAACGGTAAATTTATTCGATACGGATCACGAATTCCACGTTATAAGTCCAGAATCGCCAATAAATAATGTATGCATTTTAAGAGATCCGTTCTTTACGCAATAAAACGCTACAATGGATTATGGATTAAATTTATTAACAGTCAAAAGCAGACCAACTGAACCTATACTTTTTTTATACCAAGATAATAAAATTAACTCTGTTATACAATACCTATCAACACAAGAGATGAGTGGAGAAAAATAGAAATACCTGCGCAAGAAATAAAGCCTATTGATGTCATGGAATCTGAAGACTTTTTCGACACTGACTTCGAAGAAAACGGTTAAAACGATGTTAAAGATCGCATTAAATTTACAATGGATTAGATGAAAAAACTTTATAACTTGATAGCTAGTCTATCAGAAATAAGAAAAATTGTAGAAATATACGCTAACTTATTTTACACTCCAGGCAACCTGGCTCTTCGTACTTCTATTAAGACACATAAAATACCTACGACATATGATCGTCCTGTATGTGTCAAACAATACTGCTACCCCTTATCATTTCACCAAAAAATTTGAACTTAAATATAAAAGTTATTTACAAACAGTTCAATCATTAAATTAAACAGACCTTACAGTAGTCCTCTCTAGATAGTACCCAAAAAACAAGGACCTAATGGAACAAAAAGATACAGATCAAAAATAGATTACCGTAAACTAAACGAAAAAACAATCCTTGATGCTTATCCACTACCAAACATTACTAAAATATTAGAGCAAATCGAGGGCTCAATTAATTTTTCCGTTTTCGATCTAGCCAGTGAATTCCATCAAATAGAAGTTAACCCTGCAGATAGACATAAAACTGCTTTTAGCACACCTAACGATCGTTATAAACATGTAGGAATGCCATTTGGACTATACAATACACTTGCGACATTTCAAAAACTAATGGACATAACTTTATCAGGACGGTAAGGCATTGAGTTACTTATATTTCTTGATGACATACTTGTATGTTCAAACACATTAAAAGGTCATGTGACAAAAATTACTCATTTATTTGGAAAACTTTTAAAATCAAAATTAAAATTACAACTTGACAAAGGTTAGTTATTAATGCCCGAAGTTACTTACATAGGACATAAAATAGAAAGCTACAGAGGCAAACCAGATTTTAAAAAATTAGAAGCTGTTGAAAAATTTTTGAAACCAAGAAATCGAATAAATGTTAGACAATTTTTAGGATTAGCGAGCTATAACCGTCATTTTTTCAAAAATTTTGCAGAAATTGCAGGGCCTTTAACTTCCTTGTTAAGAAAAGGAAAAAAATTTAAGGACGTTCGGTAGTGTTAGCGGGGGGAAACATTTGCGCGGTGAGGGGAAACCAGCGATGAATGAAGATTTGGCAACGTCGTACGGGTCTTAAATGTGTGAGTGTTCATGTACACGCATCAGGTGTCTCTGTACACTCTACACTGTCTGCTCGTCTGCTGCGCGCTGCGTCGGTTACGACAGCGTTCGTGTATCAATGTTTTTGTGATAAAGCTGTAAGTATTTTTTACTGATTTATTATAAAAGTGTAGTGAAAATGAATAAATGAGTAATTAGAAAGACTTGTAACAATTGTATTTCTATTTGTAGATTTCATTTCTAATAAATGGGCAAAGCCCTTTAATCAAAAGAGCTACCAGTGTAAATAAAATACTTGAATTTTTAAATGACTTGACAAGTCTCATACAGCATGGGATATCAGATAAGTAGGATGATTTCTAAGATGAGTGATTCAAACTATGAGCATGTGATTTTGTAATGTGCAAAAAAATTGTATCTTAAGAAGAAATAATAAATTTGAAATTAAAAAAAATAAATAAATAGCGTGTTATTAACATTTATTGTTTTTTATGGGAAGGGGTGGGCATTCTGTACATACACTCACGCACACACGTAAGCTTGTATTTTATGCGTGAATGCATAAATATCTACAGTAATATTGAGATATTTACTGATCAACATCCTGGAACATTTTGAATTTCCCGCCACTTGCGACGTTGCCGTTGCGTTTCGGTCGAGCTTTTATTTAGTTTTTTATTTATAAACGAATCAGACGATCGTCGCAAAACTTGGTATACATCAAATTAATATCATTATCTGTAACATATAAAAAAATTGGCCAAATTCACTGTCCCAATTTGCTTAAAACTGTGATTTAGTCAGTTCTCCCATAAGCGACAGTGTTAAAATGACTTAACTTTGAAATTCAATATCTCGAAAATGAAACAGAGGAACCTCTTTAAATTTTGACTGGTTTATTGTAACAACAATAAAAACGTCTGGTCAAAATTTCA